TCACACTTCAAATGCGCACTCCGGAGTCCACGCACTTCAGTTTGGGACACAGCTATATGCCTTGTCCAAATACCCACACTTGCGGTCTTGGCCACTTGAGAGCGCGTGCGCGCGACAGGAAGTAAGTGCACAAGACTGTCCCAGGTATTAAAAACGGCAAAGCGCAGTACCCTTAACGCACACTAAATCCACACTATCTCAAATACCGCTCCAGAGCGCTATTCGAGGCTTAGTGTATCCCATCATGCATCATGTTCTGGAAATAAATTGTGAGACTTTTTGCTGAGATCTCGCGAGAGGTCACGGAAACCTTTCCAATGTAAGTTAAATATTAATATAATAATGAGATATTTCATCTTTTATCACTTAATTAGAAGAACCACAAATTAAATTGTCATGTTATAGGGACTACTGAACAGACATTTAGAAGTTGATTTTAAAATGCAACGTATTTAAAATAAAAATACAAATGAAGCTATGTAAACACTTGCATTTTTACAACACTAGTGTGTCCCATCAGGTAATGAAAAGTTCGACACACACTTGTGGTCTTCATGCTCACTTGAACATTTGGGCCAAATACAGGAAATACGTCATAGAATTGGTCAAGTGCAAAGACCACACAGTGTGGATTTAGTGTGGGTACTTGGAAGTCATAGAAGTGGTCAAGTGCAAAGACCGATAGTGTGGATTTAGTGTGGGTACTTGGACAAGGCAATAGTCTCTCTGTAACAGTCCACTACACCAGGGTTCTTTAAACATTTGTGACCCGTGTTGGCAAAATGAGTCGGAATGCGCACGGGCTAATTTTGAAAAATGACGATTTTAGTAAAATTTGAGGTTTTCAAAAAAATGAGTTAATTGAGCCTTCGTCTAGCAATCCCAATGCTCCAAATATAATTAAACATCTAAAATGATCTTTATTTGTATGTTTTCTGAGAGGACTACCTTTTCTCCGCTTGTTTCTTGCGCTGACTGTCATCCGAAGCGCGCACATAAAGGTGCTTCCGATTATATGTTATAAATATATAATATGTTATATTCCGATTATCCGTTCCCGAATCGATGCGTTTTTGTAAGAAAAGTATCCATATTCAAAACGTAGTAATCACTTTAATCTAGCTCACTGTTGTAAAGGAAGCAGTTCCATGCGCCGCTCAGAAGTGATGCACGCAGAAACGCAGGAGAGAAGTATAACGCACTTATTAGAAGTATAAAACGAGGATTTGTAAAGAAGAATGTCAGAGGATTTCGATATAAGCCAAGAGGAGACTGGTTTTCCTTTGCTAAAGTAAGGAAACTTTGCTTCCTTTGATACTGTAAACAAACGTTGGGTTTCACTATACTCACCGGTGCATACCCAAGGCTGAACTCCTACGTCATCAGCCCGGAGCTGCTTCCGTGTACAACTTGGCGCAAGCTACATTAAAGTGATTATTACGTTTTGAATATGGCTATTTTTCTTACAAAAACGCATTGATTCGCTACAGGAGGCAAATTACTGTGCTACACCTGTTTGAAGGTCTTTTAATGGAAAATTTAAAAAAAGAAAACAACTAATTTTTGAAAAGTTGCTCATTTTGACTCATTTTGCCAGCACAGGTCACATTTCTTTTCCCTAGGAACCCGCCACCAAGACTCTTAGCCATCACATGGACCCCCATATAAAAAGCTAGATTTCTTCAGTAAGACTTTCATTATGAACATCTCAATTCTTATATTATACAATGCTTAAGAGCTGATTAGTTAAAGATTTAGAAATCAGTTTGATATTTATAAGTTGTATACGTATATTGTTTAAATCACCTGCCCTGATATCATGTATGCCCCCCCCTCGTGCTACCAAAACAGTTCTGATGCTTTGAGGCATGGACTCCACAAGACCTCTGAACGTGTCCTGAGGTATCTGGTATTTATGTAGTTTTGTTCGCTTGGCTGTTTCCTTATAAATGTTTTTCGTCAGGTGTCTTTTTTAATTATATGATGTCATTACGTTGCTGTCTTGCCGCCAACCAATTGCTGCATTGCTGATCGTGGTTTCGAGTATCGATACATAGCCCCTTTTAAACCAACCCATGAACGCGCAATTATCTCAGATAACTCAATCCAGCCATACTAATTATCAACAACAGCTGCATTCGAAGAACCGAATTAGCCAGATCCTGATTAGCGCGATGATATCATGTTGGATGTGACATTTCATCTCAGATGTAATAAGCGACGTATGAAAGAACGGGCCCCTGGTCTGGATAAGGAACGGATCCAGGTGACTACGTGAACCTTTGAATAAGAATGAGACTGACAAATTAATATTAGTGTAGATGCTATTCCACTTACAATGCAACAAGTACATTTGATGATATTCCCGGTTCCGGTTGACCTAATTTATGCATCCTAACAATCCTTAAGGGATTTGAATGATTGAAAAACGATAGTGTGCTATGTGTATGCCAGATTAAAGAGATGGATCTTTGATCTAGATTTAAACTGACAGTGTGTGCCTGCCTCCCGAACAATGCTGGAAAACTAGAGTTTGGACGCTAAATAGGAAAAGGATCTACCGCCCGCAGTCAATTTCGATATTCTAGGTATTTTCAGCTGTCCAGAACTTTGAGATTGCAGTGGACCTGAAGGACTATAATGTGATAAGAGCTCACTTAAGTACTGAGGAGCTAAACCATTCAGGACTTTATAAGTAATCAAATGTCATTCTTGAGACATGGGACAAAACAGGTCCAGCAAGGGTAACTGCTATTAGGTTTAAAAATAAAAATATTTTAAATGTCATGAGGGATTAATAATAGAATGTATTTAACACAATTATCACTTTCAATTTAATTTTCTCATTATTATACCAAATCTATGTTTCTTAATGTCCTCTCACTACATCTAAAACAGTGTGTCCACAGAGAAGGGTTCAATCATTCATATGCAATAAAATGGATAAAAATGTTTTTTATTACTAGAATCAGGAAGTATGACCAAATTAGCCTGGTTCTTTAGATATTGCATTTTGGATCAGCTGGAGTTTGTTTATTTAGCCTGCAGGGCAACCACACAGTAAAGCATTACAATAATCTAGTCTTGAGGTCATGAATGCATGAATCAACTTTTTTGCATTCTTACATTGAGAGCATATTTTGTGATTATTTTTATGATGGAAAAATGTGGTTTTACAAATGTTGCTATCAAAGATAGAAAAGTGTGATATCCCATCTTACAGCGTCTTTATCTTTTTATTTAAAAGTAAATTCAAACTGTTTTTTATTTGACCTTGTTTTTCAATTTCTTTTTTGAACTCATCAGTAATTACAGTGGTTAGTCTTCAGTCCTCTATTATTTCATTATCAATATTACTTTCCCTTTCCACTAATTTCTCATAATCTATCTCATTATTATTATTCTCTTCAGATTTTAGGACTCGAGTCCCTGTTGGGCAGTGAGCAGCTGTGGCCGGTGGTGCTGGGTGTTACCGTACTCCCTACAGTCCTGCAGATGACGCTATTGCCTTTCTGTCCTGAGAGGCCGCGCTTCCTCTATCGTCCGCTGCCAAGAGCACCATGCAAAGAGCAGTCTGTGCAGGGGCGGATCTACCGGGCCACCCTAAGAAAAAGCTCTGCCACCCAAGAATTATCACAGAATAAAATATAAATGTAACCAGTGCTTCATGTGTTACTTTTCAGATGCGGCGATGACAGAGTAACGTAAATTAATGGCAAAAACACGTCTTTTAATAAACTCTGCACGATGGTTGCACGCAGCGTGCCAGCGTAGTCGGCTTCATTAACAAATGACTCTTATGAACCGGATCTTTTTGAGTCAAAACCACAAAGCGCGGCCCAGTTCACTAACGAATTGTTTTTACATTTGTTCGTGTATCGGAAAATTACTGCTTTTCAGCTAACCCAGAAGTCCTCTGAGAAATCCAATCCCGTTCGGATATGTCTGAGATTCATCGCGTAATTGTTTGGTGATCCGATTCTCCGACCGCTCGCTCCACTTTCATCATGGATAGGCCTAGAAGCTGTAACAATAACGTAAAATCAACAAGACGATGCCGATCGCGGAAACTAATAGCAGAGTTAGGTAAGAATCTAGTCGTATTGGAGTTTTCTCGATTGTTAATGTAACTGATTTTAGTTGGCACTTTTCCCCCCCAAACCATTAATTCAGTTTTCAAAACAAAGACACATTTCTCAAAAAGTTTAACAATGAGTAAGTAAAACATTAGGTAGCAAAACTGATAAGTTTAACAATGAGTAAGTTAAACATTAGGTAGCAAAACTGATGAGACACCAATCAGAATCTCTGCATCCTAACAATGGAGAGAGGAGAGAGCTGAGCCAATCATCTACAGGGGTTTTATACTTACACATACAGTATAATTACAGTACTAGTACATTAGATAATGGAAATTTCACTATTCTGTATGTACAGTAAACTGTAGCACATGTTGTACACCACAGCGTGTGACTGTCAAATTTTATTTGTAACCATTTTTTTATGTGTACTGCATTTTTGCAGAACTGAGAAATGACTGCCTAGAGGTATAGCTAGTCTTGTGTCAGGAGACCAAGAAACTGCTATAGTGCTGTATACTGTAATGAAATTTGGCCAAATGTGCAGAGGATGCTAAATTTACTTT